TTAAGTATTGATGAGAAAACTGAATTATTGTAAATAATTTATGAAAATCAGGTACCAGTTTGGACTAGATGAACATGTAAATGTGATGATGTAGTAGGAGTTGGTGGGTTATGTTTCTTTTTTGTGGATATATAGCAGGGTTGAGTTCCTGTAAGAATCTTTAATATCATGTCCATTATACTGTGGAATTTTAATGTGTTATGTCACTCTAAGGATGTATAAGACTTTGTTGGATTGTAATTAAATCCAGCCACCTTGGTACTCAGTGTCAGATGTGGAAATTTTTGAAAAGTAATATTATTCCACAAGTACATCAGACACAATAGATTCCTGAATTGTTGTGAAAAATTGGGCCAGACTTCAGAATGAGTTAATTTGTGAAGTCTGGAAAACAGAATTGACCTACTTATTTTTTTCTCTGTGTTATATGTGGACACAATTCCATTGTGGAGCAGGGTCAAATCAGAAGATATGTGGATTACGCTGTTAATTAAAATGATTAACTCACAGAAATATTCCTTTCCTAATTATGTCCCTCAGAAAAAGTTCCGTTCTTCATTACCGGTCTACTATGACTAAGAGATATATATTTCATTCTAATTAACGTCTATAATGGTGAAATATTTTATTCTTGATTAAACTCTTAGACTGAAATGTTGCAATCAAAGTTAGTCATACTTTTAAATAGATACAGCAATTAGTGTAGATTGTAAAGTGCATTATAAAACAATTGCATAGTAAAAATGCAAAATTTTCTGAAACACACACACACATATGGAGAGAGGAGGTTGACAAAGAATTGTCCAGTTGATTCACAAATAAAAATCAAAGAATTATAGGATATTTCTTGCACATGTATGAATTCAACTTAAAAGTGATTTTTTATTGTTCTCAGTTGATTTGTATTTTAAATACCCAATGGCATATATAATAATTTATCCTGCAAATACCCCTTGCATAAAGGTAACCTAATAAACCAAAGCTTTATTCGGTCAATGCCCTAATAAAGTCTTGTGCATGTATTCTGACATTCTAAAATCATTGTGACGTCATTTACGCCATGGTGTCTTAGTTTCAACTGCAGAGATGTGCCTAAATTGGGTTGGAAATAGCTTGTTTTATAGTTCTGATGTAAAAATTAATTTTATTGCAGGATAATCGTGGTCTTCACCTTTGTCTGTCTATTAATTCATTTGTATGTATGCAAGATATTTCAAAAGCAAAATTCATTAAGTAGATTTCAGTAAAATTTAATGAGAAGCTGTATAATACTTGGACAAGAAATGTTTGACCCTGAGATGGATTGGGTAAAAACAAGATGGATGTTGGAACAGTCTTAAGAAGAAATGTTTGACCCTGAGATGGATTGGGTAAAAACAAGATGGATGTTGGAACAGTCTTAAGAATGAAAGTTTGACCCTGAGATGAATTGGGCAAAAAACAAGATGAATGTTTGAACAGTACGTCTTAAGAGGGAATTAAGGTTTAACCCTGAGATGGATTGGGCAAAAAATGATATGGATGTTGGAACAGTCTTAAGAAGGAATTAAGGTTTGACCCTGATATGGATTGGGCAAAAAACAAGATGGATGTTGGAATAGTCTTAAGAAAGATGGATAACTGAAACATCATATTATGAATTCTGAAAATTAGAACCCTCTGGAAAAAGAAGATTATAAAAAAGTTAATGGAGTGTGTGCAACACAGAGCATCCCAAATTCATATTCTAGGATTGGGAAAGAATTTTACTACAGAGGCTGTGATGGAAGGATAGACACAATCCCAGTCAATGCTGTCCACTTATAATTGATTTGGACTGCTATATTTCATGTTTTAATCATGCTTTTAAAAATCAATACTTGTCTATTACAATTTTTTTATGATATGTATAGTACATGTTGTATGAAATTTTATGCCCCCCTTCAAAAGAAGGGAGGGCATATTGCTTTGCTGCTGTCTGTCAGTCTGTCGGTCTGTCTGTCGGTCCACCAGCAGTTTCCGTTCATTTTCTTTGCAGAGGTTGCACATACGGAAATGAAATTTGGTATACAGATTTATTATGTAAATATCTAGGTCAAGTTTTGTTTTGGGTATGATCGAGCAATTTATGACAGAGTTATGCCCCTTGGGCTTCGAAAAATTCCAATTATTTGCAGTTTCTGTTCATTTTCTTCGCAGAGGTTGCACATACTGAAATGAAATTTGGTATACAGATTTATCATGTGAATAGGTAAGTCAAGTTCTGTTTTGGATTCCATCAAGCAATTTTTGACAGAGTTATGCCCCTTGGACTTTGAAAATTCCAATTTTTTGCAGTTTCTGTTCATTTTCTTTGCAGAGGTTGCACATAATGAAATCAAATTTGGCATACAGATTTATCATAAAAATATCTAAGACAAGTTCTGTTTTGTGTAGGATCGAGCAATTTTTGACAGAGTTATGCCCCTTGGACTTTGAAAAATTCCAGCTATTTTTTTTTTTTGGGGGGGGGGGGGGGGGGGGCATAAGTGTTTCACAAACATCTCTTGTTTTTCTTCATTTGTTTTAATTTTCCAATCATTATGTTTTTCATGAAATCTGGAAATTCTCGAGGTTTTTTATGTCAGTATTTTTGTTACCAGGGTAACTGAAGTTGTTAACGAGTAAATTATTTATCGTTATCATCATGTTATTAGAAAAGAAAGTCATATAGATTTTGATTGGATGGTTTGAATATTTCCCTGTTCCTCTGGTGATAAAAATCTTGAAATATTAATTAGTGAAAGCTTAGAAAAAGTGGAACAATTGAAAAAAAAAATAGTCCTCTTGGTAACGTACAGAATTCTGGTTACTGTTTTGATGTATAGCCATATTTTCATTAAATTTTGTAATATTGATGTAATCTTTCTGTACATACAAATTTTTATCAGTTTTACAAAATTTATTTTCATATATAGATAAAATGCTGCCAGGAAAGCATTCCCAGTTACTAACAAGATAATGATACAGAGTGATGAAATTTGGAGATATTTATTACGTAGAAATTATAGAAAATTCAAATGTTACAATTAAAAATGTAGAAATTTATAACGTAGAAAGACATGTTTAACACATGAAAGACTATAGGTTATTGAATTTGGTGCTGGCTATTTTAAGAAGCAGTTTGCAGTTATATTAACATTGTGTGAAAGACACTTGATTTCTTTCATTCTAAATTAATCTTTCTGCATAGAGTTTGGGGGCTTTGATTCCGGCATTTGAGTAGATAATAAGAAATCTATGAGTGCAGCCATATTAAATTTCACCCCATTTCCTTTCGTAAAATATACGTAATGCTACAAAGTGCAACTTTCACAACTCCTTTGCATGTGCCACAATTAAAGATTTTTTTTTTTTAATTTTCAAAAAAGAAAGTGAATCACTCCTTTTTGGGTGGGCTCCTTTGTTACCATGGCAACAGATAAAATGGGGTTAAAACATGACTGGCCTATGATCAGGAATATATAGTGTTAGGTGATAATGTGATTATGAATTTTAAGCTCTGACTTATTTTATTGCAGTAAGGTAAACATCTTCTTTATGATTTACGTCTGGAATTTCATGCAGTAATGTCAAATTCTGATTCTGCGTTTGTACCAGAATGCACCTCATTTCATATTACTATCAGATCAGTTACTCAAGTTATGCAAATTTTTGTTTCTTCTGCATTTGAAAAATTTTGTCAAAAAATTCTATGTAACAAGTTCTTATCAAGGAAATGATGACATTATTGCTTGCAACAAGTTTGCTTTCAGTATGGGCTCACTTAGATGAGCTCACTTTTGATCGCAGTCTCATTTTTTCACTACTGATATATATTCCTTTTGTAAAATGGAGATTGAGATAGAAGTGAGCTCTTCTAAGTTTTAATGAGCCTGGTGAATTCTCTACTGTAGCAGTTCTTATAATTCCCCATCTTCTGCTTTTGTCACTGTTGGGGATTTAATTTGATCTTCAAATCTGAGGTTTAAATCATCTTCATGAACTAAAGTCTTAAAGTACACATTTAAGTGGTAATGGGTTATAGAAATAGAAGTAATCTGTATAAATAAGGGCAGTAGATTGGATTGTTTGATAACTGTTGTGGTCTTAAAGCGGAATATGACACTTGACCCTGTGTCTATTAATGGACATAGATTGAGAATTGAATCATTGAAGACAATAGTAATAATGTCTATCCAGCTACTGTGTTAAAAACTGAGTAGTGATGACATAGAGAGAATCAAATTTAGCTCGAAGATAAAAAAAAAAAAAAACTCTGCTTAATTTTACCTTCAGATGTGGAGGTTTACCTGAGTATGTAATAATACCAGTTCTCTATGAAGTGTGCACTTCACAAACAGATCACCTGGCAACTTACTTTTGGAAGTTTTAATTAATTTTAATTAGGATGCTGTGTATATCAGGTGTCAACATTAATTAAAATATCCACTTGTCCATTCATTTGGACGAGGTGCCCACAGTTACTTGTGTGAAGTCACTGTTTACCTGCCCTGAACTCCAACAAAAATTGTATAATGAGGTAGTTATAATTGATATTGACTTAATATTACAAGATTTGTTTAATCATGAAAATTAGAACATTACTGAACCAGAATACTGTAGAATTGTCTGTCTGAAAGTCTCAGTCACTCGTTCTCCTCTGTAAATTATTTTTAGATTGTAGCATTTTATTTGCTCATTTCTATAATGGCAGTACATGAGTTGAGGGTTGTCCCTAAGACCCGGGGGCTGGGGAATTTCCCTTCTTATAATGACATAATCCCCCAGTTACTCTGGTATTCCCCATCATCCCCCTGTTAAGGGAGGAACCCCTGCAGACCCCTTCTACTTTTTTAATGCCCCCTGCTATTTTAATTCTTAGGGACAACCCTGGCAGTAACAGCCATTTTGAATAATGATGTTTCTTTTGTTGATTATCAATTAAAAAATGAAATTTTTATCTGAAATGTTGATTTCATGCTGTTTATGATTTTTTTCAGGAATTCAGAGAAAAGGAAGGAGAAATCTCGCGATGCAGCTCGCTGTCGACGCGGCAGGGAGACAGAGATTTTCTCTGAGCTGGCGGACCAAATCCCACAATACAGCGGAGGTCACAGTTCACTGGATAAGGCCTCCATAATGAGGCTTGCCATCAGTTACCTGAAAGTCAGTAAAATAATGGAGACCCAGCGTAACAATAGTAAGTCATACTATAAATCAGTTTTTATTCACATTAGAACTTTATTTTCCTATTTTATTTTTATTTGAGACTGTCCGGTAGCAATTAATGTATTCATTACCCTGTATATTTGCATTATTAATTTAAATGAGTAAATACAACAACAACCAAACTAGCCAAAAATATTATTTTGCTCATATATTTACAAAGTTAACTCTCTCCTGAAATTAAGGTGTCAGGAAATTTGGTTTAAAGTTGAATTTAAGATTTATTATCTTCAGTAAAAGCCACAAATTACAGTAAAACTCGATTATCAGAAAGTCACTGGGACTTCAAACTTTGTTTTCATATAACCGAGATACTTTATAACTGTATAAGAAACACAGTGATAAAGTCTTCTACAGGGTTTGTAAATAGTTCGACCCTTATAACCAAGATTTCCTTATAAGGGAGTGCTTTATAACAGAGTTTTACTATATACGCACTCTCCCAGGTAGGGCTTGATAGCTCATTCTCAATACAAGAGCAAGTGTAATGTCCACTTGCAATTGAGCAGCTTTTGTTGGCTCTGGGCTCACTGTCTCTCTGAAGTGAAACCAGAAGGTAATTAGTTTTGCTTTGCTTAATTAATATATATATATATATATATATATATATATATATATATATATATATATATATATATATATATATATATATATATATGCTGTATCAGCTAGGTCAGGACCTGATTTTTGGAAGAAACTTGAAATCAAAGTCCTGGTTGTTCAAAAAATTTTCATTTTCCTTCTGTGCAATGATATATATATATTATATGATATTCTGACCTTTATGCTTTGGTGGTTTAAGTCCACATTTCTTTTGGAAAGTAATGATTTATGATTTTTGAAACAAATTTCAAACAATATTACTTGAAAACCAGAAAATGAGTTTTAGGAAGATTAAATATGTTATTCACTACATACTTTGTGAGGATTTGATACCCGATTGTTCCGATATAGACCTGACTTTTCTCTATCTTTAGGACATGCCCCGTGTGAGGAGTTTGATTCTCTCTACAGTAAGGCTCTGGACGGATTTGTGGCCATCTTGTCTAATGAAGGGGACCTCGTCTACATCTCTGAAAGTGTCTCCAAATATCTGGGCATTCAGCAGGTGAGAATTTATTGGTGACCTGGATAGCGAGAGGCAGGGAGTAGAAGTTATAGGTGGACTAGCCATGCTGTGAGAGGAAGGGGTGGAAGATATAGGTATAGACTAGTTAGTTAGAGGATGGAGTTGGAAGTTGTAGGTATAGACAGATTAGTCAGAGGGAGGGAGGGATTTGTAGGTTGACTGGTTGGTGAGAAGGAGCTTCATGGGTGGAAATTTGAAGCACTTACCTGTCAGGTGGAGACAGAGAATGTGTTACATGTTCTGTTTATTAAACATTGTTAAAATAATTATTTATAACTGCAACCTTGAATGGGACAGCTCATCTGATTAATAACATTTAAGACTTAAGTGTTAATATGCATTAGGAGCTGATGAGATGAACAGCCATACAGGTTAATGTCTGTAGTTATATCAAGGTTGTAAGTTTACCTTTGGGATGATTTAGCAGAGCTATCAATGTATATTGGTCAGCCGGGAATATGTTTTATGTTGTAATTTGTTTAATGATGTTTTAAGAAATTTGCAAGTCACCATGAATGGCCAAAATTAAATAAAAAAATCCAAAAACAATTGGTAGGATGGGGTCAATAACTGATAGAGTCAACTGGATCCCCCTTGTTATCAGAACAAGTTATAGAGAGGGCCTCTACAGGTCATTAAATGGAAACAAAGTATTGTATTAGACTTGTTTGATTGAGAAAATTGCAACACCAGCGTAGGATCAAAGATTTATTCCCAGAGCACAGAGATTAGATTCTGTCAGTGTACATCTTTTTTTTTTTTTAGCTGATTTTTGACCATTTGATGAACACAAAGATCTTTAATTACTCTTAGACTAGTATCTAATCTTATACGTGATAAATTGGAATATTTTATGAGCTACAGAACAAATGGCCTTTGTTTGATTGATTACTCATTTCATTATTTTATGCATGGAGTTATTGACCACAAAAGTTCACAAGAATGATCTTGAAGAAGATCGGTGAAGAGTTACTGCCCTTTTTGCTTCTTTGGGGAATGACAAATCTAGTATTGCATGTGTGGCTTTTTCCATGAAATTTGAAAATAACTAGAACATGTAGAATTGGATGCTACTAGTTACAGATAAAAATTTTGAATGGGCCTTTTCCTGTGATTGTGCATTATTCAGGAAACGCATAAAAAAACCCAGAAACATGCACCAAAGAAAATGTTGAGAGTGAAATTATCTGTGTGTAAAAATATTGACCCTTAAAGTAAAATTTTCAAATAAGAAAAAAAATTAATATTATTGTAAATTCATTACAGTAATAAATATGCTAGGAATTGGAGGTAGAAATCAGGGTTAAGTGGGTATATGTGTCCAGGGCTCTCACGCCATTTTTTTGGGGACTGGGGCCGGGGCCATTCAAATTGGGAAAATTATTGTTATTTTGGAGAAAATTGGGAAAACCTGGTTCCTTATTGAAGCCGAACCAGTTTACAAATATAGGTGGCATGAACTAATTAATACAGTCGTACACAGAACTATAGTTTGTTTCACTTTCACTAGTTGGTGATTAAGTGTCATTGATTAGGATTTTAAAAAAATATTTTGCTGTAGAAAATTTGGAAATTTAGACTTTGCTTTTGGGAAAAAAGGTACCTTTTTTGCATTGGGAATGGGGCCGTTCGACGGCCCCAGTTATAGAGAATTGAGAGCCCTGTGTGTGCAGTGTTTTCAGACTTATTTACTCACTAAGGAAACCTATATTAAGTCTCCAATAGTTAAGTAGTGTATAAACTCTGTAAATATCAGGTCAAGAAATCAGCTTGTAGGAGTGCTTGGTTAGCAAAGCCATGTAACCCAGAAAAAGTCATAAAAATGGAGGGATTGCATGAGGTTTCAGACATGTCTTAGAATTAATGAGTTCTAATTTCTGTACTTCCTGTCTCGCGGGCTTATTTAATGTTGATGACTCGGTGATCTTAGTTAATGAAAGAGAGTTTTGTTGTATAAGCTTGAAAAACGAGGTTAATCCCACAATGGACTATATCATATGACCAGGTATTAGCTGTCCTGTATTGTTTATTGATGCTGAAAGCTTAAAACAGATCTATATGTGACATTTTACTAAGAGTCTACTGGGTATATTATTACTGTTTATATATATATATATATAAACAATGAGTATATATACAGTTGAACTCCGGTATCTCGAACACTGATATCTCGAATGCTATGGATATGTCGAAGTGATTTTGAAGTCCCAAGTGCTTATTTCTTAAGAATTTTACCCTGGATATCTTGAATCCTCGGATATCTGTAAGTATTTTTTCGGTCCCATCGAGTTCGAGATAATGAGGTTTGACTGTATATCTATAATACATTTATTTTTGACTGCCAAAAAATTATTGCATATTTATACAAACTGGAAAAAGGAAAATTCTGAAAATTAAACACAACAAAAATAAATTATAGACATCAAAAAACTCGAGTACTGTAGCAAGAGATTTTTCTGAACCGGACCTTTGTAATATCATTCATTATATAGAAGGCAACATATGGCATACAGGATATATAAGTTTTGACTGCATTTATTCATACATATTTGATTTCTGTTTGCTGTAACAGATTGCAAATTTATCCCTGAAATAAAAAATTCCCATTGATGATTTTTTCATTGAAAAAAAAAATACAAATTTGTCAGTTGAGTGAACAGATGTGAAAATTTTAATATGATGCTCCTAGAAATAACATAATTTTGCAAAAAGTTCATAGATGGTGCAATTTACAGAATTATGTAATTAAAAGAAGTTTTTTTTTTTTAATTTCAACTGTTTTGAAATTTTTAGTTTCAATACGCAAAGCTTGAAATGGTTGGTGTAGAAATATTTCATTTTCTAAGACTATCATTATCAGGTGTGAATATCTAAGGTATTAATTTTGGAACTTGCTTGTTCAGGTGGACCTAGTGGGGCAGTCCATTTATGAATTTGTTCACCCCTGCGACCATGAAGACATTACGGACATTTTCCACAATAATGGCCGCGACAAGAAAAAGTCCAAAGATGCCCACCACACTTTCTTTGTCAGGATGAAATGTACGCTGACTAACAAGGGCAAAAATGTCAACCTTAAGTCAGCCACTTACAAGGTCTGTGTTAGAGTGATTTCACTTATTCTAGAGGTGTCAAATTAAATTTCTTGCTTATAAAAAAAAAATATTAAAGTACAAATGAATTATTGAAAGATTGTGCAAATAAAGGTAATTTGATTATGAAATTTTTATGCAAATTTAGACTGAAACATACCAAATTAGTGTAGTAAATTTTCAAAACCATAACAAAGTTAGCAAATTTTTTTTCCTTTTAATGATATGGCCGGATGACATAAAAGAAAAACAATGTAGCTAAACATGATTTAATGCTTATAAGTATTGCAGTTTTTTAATGGAATTGTAAATTAATGTAATCCTTTTGATGGACAGGTGATTAAGTTTTCGGGGAAGTTGATTGAGGACAAGGTTAAGAAGGAGTCCGGGGGAGAGGGGAACCCTCCCTATCTGCTGGTGATTGGGGAACCCATACCCCACCCCTCAAACATTGAGATCCCCCTGGATAGAATGACGTTCCTCAGCAGGCACAACATGGACATGAAATTCACGTATTGTGATGACAGGTAACCATGACAATGTGATTAATTGTACTCTGATATTACCATAGCAACTGTGTGAAGTTTTTAAAATTTCAGTGGAACAGATGAGAAAAAAACAAATATATTTTTGCTCTAAAGAAAAAAACATGACTTTTTAGGATTGCAGACTGATAACTGATAAATTGTTTTGAGCGTAGAGTGTGTTGAACTCAAGTCTCCTTATGAGTTGTAAATCAACAACACTAATGACTTATATATGAACCAAGATATTGATGTCTAGAGAATAATCAGAAGTCTCTATCATTAATGAAGCTGTGCCATTACATATTTTGATTGTTGTAATGAATGTGTAGGAAGTTTGATGCAGAATATTCCCTATTAAGGCTGTTAAAGCTTATATGTAAAATGAATTATTCACTATTTGTTGAACTTGTGACTTTGATGAGAGTGAAAAGATACAAACACTATGAGCTATTTTTCCCTCTTTACATCATTATTACTTAAGGAAGCTCTAAACTCTAATGAAATAGTTTTTTGGAGTCTGAGAAAATTATATCATATACACTGTCAGGTGTATGTTGAGTTTATCTAGTTCATTTTCAACATAGGGTACCTGCCATATTTCCACAGGTCAAAGACAATGAACAGAATCTGATTTTTACTAAGGTTGGCAAAATACAAGAAGAAAATGTATTCAAGCACTTAATCTTGGTCTAATATAATGTTGAGAATACTTTAGTGTATTACAAACTTTTTTTTTATACATTCATCAAGTAACATCTACATTGTAAGGGCAGATCACTCTAACTGCATGCATAAAACTCCCCTACAATTAGAACTCTTCAGTATGCAGAGTTTAGCACTTTCTTAAGTTGTATAAACTTTAGATGAAAAAACTTGAAATAGGAAAGAGAAATTGAACAAAGAGATTCTTGAACTTGTAAATAATATAGTGGATATACCAGTAATAAATAGAATGTTTTACTATCTTGATGTTTTTTTTACACAGGGTGAAGGATCTGCTGGGCTACAACTGTTCAGACCTGATCAACAAATCTCTGTTTGACTATCATCATGCTATGGACAGTGAGCTCATTGACCAGGCCTATAAATACTGTAAGTCTTTACTCAGAGGCTGTTAAGGGCCATTGATACTCTGATAAGAGAGATAACTCTAAATGGGATAAATGTCTATTATTCCTCTTAAATTTGTGAAGTTGAAATATCATTTTTGACAAGCTTTGCCTTGCAAGCTTTGTTAAAATTGATTGCATTCATCTTATAAAATACATTTCTTTTGGAAAATCTTAGATTTTATTATAAGTGAACAGAGGATGTATGAACTTTAAGGGAGTTGAAACTTCTACCTACCTGTTTTATTTTAAAAAAGGAAAGCAATTTTCTTTTCTGGGAATCCCCCCCCCCCCCCCCCCCCCCCCCCCGAAAAAAAAGAGTGAATTTCTCACAGCCATTTTTTGTTGGTTATGGTAATAAATACTGAAACACAACAGGTTACAAGAGAAGCTGATTAAGTAACTAACAATTAAGACATGTAAAAATTACAAAAAGGTCTTGTAATATGTACATTGGTAGGTAAACATATAAAGACTAAGCATGATCAAACTGCAAAACTTGTCTCAGCTACAAATTCTAAAATTCTAAACTTCAGAGTAGAAAATATTCCTTGAGTTAAGAAAGATTTACATGACCAATTACACATGACCAGACTTTTAGGTCTTGTTACTGAGTGGCATAGAATGTGAAAAAAAGGAGTAAAAATAAATTCATCATCTCATTTTGAAACTTGAAATTTTCCATAAGATATGTAATTGGTTTTCTCTTAAATTGAAGATTCACTTACACACACTTATACATGTACATAGATCATATGTTCAAAAGACTTGTATGTTGTTTCTGAAATTGACTTGGATTTCTCTATTGTAATAGTCATACTTTCTGATCTAGATTAGAAGCTCATATCATGAATCTTAAACTTTATGCCTGATTTCTAGCTCTGATAAATCCTAAAATTGTAAATTGAGTTAAGTGGATTGCACCGAGAAATCTGTAGATTTGAGTTTAAAAAGCAGAGTCATGCTTGTGCTTATTAAAGTACATTGAAGATGCGATTGTTTGGTGGGAACGGGTGTGTGAGATTCATTAAAATTTCAAGATAATTGAAACTCCTTACTTTTAAGTTTATCGATGTAGAAGGGAATTTGATGTCTGATTTGACAGTTTTTTGCGTACTTATGATAGCGAGGTGATATAACATGCACAGGATGTGGAGAAATATAGCAGAGTAGGGGAACTCCCTGGTGTCGAACATGCCTTCATCTCATGATACAAAACCACAGAATCTAAAGTATACAGTTATCATTGAGAGAGGGCAGAATGGTCAAGGGGGGAGAAAGAGAGATGGAAAGACAAGGGAGAGAGAGAATTTTATATGTGTTTACGTGACATGTTTAAAAGTAAGAAAACTTAACTGATGATATTTGCTGTGCTTTGTTTTATTAAAGTCAAATGTTGGTCATTTTGTCAGCACACTGACAGAGTTTCTTTTGGTGAAGTGGGGGGGGGGGGGGGTTCAAACTCCTGAAACTTATAAAGAATATTAATTTACTGTAAACTCCAAATATCCAAATAACATTGCTCAAATTTTAAAAAAAATATTCCTTAGAAAAACTTAGTTGATAATATTATGACCTCAGATTTGTGCACAGATGTAAAATCAAACTAACTTTAGCATTTCATATAAATCAAATTGAAGTATTTCAGATAAATTGAAATTCTTTGCTCTTCACTGAACAAGTAGACACAAGAAAATGATTCATAAGGCCTGGTTTCTTCCCCCTGATAAAACTAAAAGATTCTAACATATGACTTAATTTTATGAACGTTCCTCAGCTCCTGTCTTGTAATGTAGGAATCAGAAGGTTGTCTGTCTTGATGATAAAACTCGTGTGTTTTCCACTGGTTTCAGTTTCAAGTTAGAGAGTGCATGTCCTATAATAAAGTAGTAAATAAATCTTAAAAGCTCATCTTAATGAACAACGAACTAAAAATGGTGGGTTTGGGGTGGGGGTGGGGGGTTGGAAAGAAGAATAAATCTGTACATATTATTTAGGGTTTTTTTTTTTTTTTTCATATTTACAACTGTAGATTTTCTTTCTAAGTTTTCATATTTACAATTGTAGATTTTCTTTTAAGAAAATGAGTAATTTTTTAGTAGTATACATTGTGTCTGGATTATATTGTAGTGGTTGCTAAGGGACAAGTGATGACCAGTCAGTATCGATTCCTGGCCAAAACGGGGGGACACGTCTGGGTCATCACTCAGGGGACGGTCATCTACAACAGCCGCACCCAGAAACCCCAGTGTGTGGTCTGTGTCCACTATGTTCTCAGGTAAACCTTTAAATTTATTTAAATCATTCTGAGGCAAAACTGTGGTAAATAAAGTAAAAAAATACAGTATATATATATATAATGTATATTATAATTAGAGGTATACTATACCTGTATTGTTTACTGCCTCTCGGGTAAGTCTGAAAATTATTTATTCATAATGTTTACCTCTTTATTGTCCACTATATCCTCAGGTAAAACTGAAGAAAAAGAAAAATATGTATTATTTTTTAATGTTTATCTTTACTGTGGATACAAATTAACTTACATGGCAGACTTAAAACTATAAAAATTACAATATATGCCATTAAAGGACTAGTTTATCATGTATTGTGATTAAAAGGAGGGAAAATATTATAATATATTATACAACTCTGGCTATATGAACATGCCAATGTATGAGATGTAATCACTCTATATAGTATTCTGTGCGTTATAATTTGATTTAAATGTTTGTAGTGGAATTGAGAATCCGAGCCTGATTCTGTCCACATCTCAGCAGACATACAGCCAGCAATTACCCATAATCCCACTGGAGATCAAACTCAGCACCGAGGATGTCTTCAAACCGCGGCCTGAAAACGTTAAAGTGGACGAGTTCTACTTCCCGCCGGGCAGCAAGATGTGTAAGTTACCTCAAACAATGCCTTACATTAGCCATTTGAAAACATTTGTGTCACATAGTTTAATTTATTCATATTTTTCAAAACCTTGGGAACTCTCTTGTATATGAAAAAACATTTTTAAAAGATCTCATGTCATTTAAACAGATTTCTATTTTGTAAATTCATGAATTCTATAAGAATTCTGGTCCAGATTTGTTTCTTTTCTGGTTACATTATTATTAGAGCATTTCTACTCACTCGGGTGAGCATTGTGAGTCACTGTCCTTTTATATACATACAGATCAAGTTACTGATATTTATCATGACAAAATAAAGCTTGTATTAACCTTTTGCAGACTTCTACTTACCAAGCCATTAATGTTAAACTTTATGTTTTGTAGCCTCCATGAAAATTGACAAGAATGTAGATCTGACCCACCTGGCTCCAACCTCCGGGGATATCTGTGTACCCCTGATTGATGGTAAGTGCCTGCCACTCTCCCTTCTAACCCCCCCCCCTCCCCCCCCCCAAAAAAAAAAAAATATATATATATAGACCTTAATTTCCTTTTGCTGTTGTTTGAGAACCAGGTTCTGTTAAAAAAATGAAATCTAATGATTGCATGCTTTTCTAAAAATCTTTTCAAATATAACATAAAATAGAAAATTCAGAATAGTATAATAAGGATGATGCACATGTATGATACAAATTAACTAGTAGATTATTTAACTTAATGTGTACTGTTATTTTTGAAAAACGGGGGAAAAAAATTTAGAAAGAATGAAAGGGAAATAACTTGTGTTTGTAAATATGCCATAAAACATAACAATCTTTTAAAAAATCATGAAAAAACAACATATTGTTAATAAGGTCATATATCCAATTACAAAATAAGATTTGAATAAAAATAACTGATGTGATTTGGAGAATTTGTCCTTGGTTAATTTTCCATTTGTATTTATTGGGAATACCTGTTATACAGAATGAAACGTACCTTTTATGAAATTTAAAATTTTCTGGTACAGATAAATAGATTGGATATGAATTGTCTTGGAGCTTATTTTGCTATGAAGAATATAGAAAGTGAGAATTATGTCTGACGTGTTTAATTAGCACCATAAATTGGTAATCCATAAAGTAAAGAATTTTTTTTAATTGTGACTAAAAATGAGGTCAGCAAGTGAAAGGATTTTTTTGTTATTCCCCCCCCCCCCCTTTCCTCTAAAAATTATAGGTGTCACTCTGGATTTCATTTTAATTAGTATTCATCAAGTAATACTTTTGATAAACACCTTTTATAGGAAAAGACTACTATCAAATGATCCATTCTTAAATTCAAATTTAAAATTTTGGGTAAAATGGAATTGAAAAGAATATATTTAAAATTGATCAGGAGAAATAATAAAACTTGATTTGGCCTTGCACACTTTAGATTTAGGAAAAAAAAACATTATGGCAAAAATGCAAATTCTCTTGTCTCTGATGAATAAAACTTGATGAAACTTGGCATGATGAGTATAAATTTTATTATTTCAGAGAACTGTGTTCCGTTCTCCACTAACTTGCCACTTCCTGTTCTGAAAGAGGAGCCGGATGTCTTCAGTAAGCGGGTCTGTTCTCAGCAGGCTTACTCCCCGTTATCAAGTCCTGCGGTGAGTCTCTCATCTGTTGTTATCAAATACAGTCAAACCATGTTATCTCAAACTTGATGGGGCAAAAAAAAAACAACAACTTTTAAGACATCTGAAGATTCAAGATATTGATAGAAATTAAAATACATCAGGAGAAAGTGGGACATTCCACTCCCTCATGTTTGAGATACAGAAGTTAAACTGTTGTATATTAGGAGAGTTTAAGGACTGCTGTTGATTTCATTCATATTAAATTTTCAAAGCATTTTTTACAAGTTTTCATGTAATGATAGATTTTCCTTGTAACTGATAGTTTCCTTACAGTTACTTTGGAGTTTTATACATTTGTTATAGTCTGTAAGTCCAGCACCCGTCAGCCCTATGGACTACACTAACCCCCTGACCCCAAGTGTAGTGGATGCCATGGATAAGTTTTTCTCTGCCGTGGACACCTACCCCAGGAAAGACCACGCAGCTGCCGTAAGTGTAACCATGGTTACCAGCAGGTGTTAATGAATATTTGTTATCGAGGAGGTCTAGATTGGGATTGTCAATCAGCACAATTTGTGGGTGTTAATTAATTATCCTTGCTTTGTCCGTCTGAGATATAACATTTAGTTTTTCTGAAATGTTAAATGATTTAACCATGTGCTAATTATTTATTAAAGGACAGGATCCTGTAAATTAAAAAAACAAGTCTGTTTTCTTGAAATTTGACATAGATATGAAGGCTTCGATATTTTGGTTAAATGTTTTCCATGTAATATTGAAAATCCCCACCTATAGATTTAAATAGAAAAACCCCTTTTAGGAAAAGAATTATTATAAGTAAATAAATTAGATTTATGTTCTTTGGCATTTTAATAGGGATATTAGGGCCCCTTAAGTAAATATGTTTTGTTTGTTTTCTAGGACCTTGACTTGGATATGAGGGCCCCTTACATCCCCATGAATAAGAAGGAGGACTTTAGCTTACTGCCCCCCACCAGTGATGCGTTGTTTACCATCAACAATGACTTCAATCCAGGGTATGGGTTGTTTGATGATACATATTGTGTGCCTATTGCATATTTCAACACCTATCTTGCTGACTTTTGTCAGCAAGATAGGTCTTGACTTTTATCTTGCTAACTTTTGTGTATAAATCAACATCATGGACCTTAGGATATGAAGAAGAACTGTGAACAATACATGTAGTTTGTGTCGCTGTCTACATGTATCTTTGCATGGTTCAATTTTCAAAAGTTATTTTATTCAAATATTTTTTAAAAGCTTATATAAATACTTTGCCAACTACAGACTCGGTAAATAAAGATGATTATGTCAAGCTTATATCTTACCTGTTAAATTTTGTTAAAAATTAAACTCTTTTTATGTCAAGTACTATTTGTTTGTTTTTGACAGTTTGTTTGGACGCACAGAGTCTGTGTTTGTACCAAAGGATAAACTATACCAGGACCCACCCAAGGAAGCCCGCATGAGTATTCGCGACATGTTAGTAGGAAGTACTGCTGTGGCTAGCATCGAACAGCCCCCCGATACGTTTAATCTGCAGATGAAGCGCCCCCTAGACATGAACAGTCTGGAGAAAGGACCGCCTACAAAGAAACGCTTTATGCAGGAGTATCAGGGTACGGAATTTATCTCTATTTTTTTTTTGAAATTTTAAACTTACGAGAAAAAGGGACATAAATTTATTGCTAGTTGGTTTAAATTTGTTGTTCAGTGAAATGTTGTTCAATCTGTGTGTTCTAGGATGTAGAAATTATTTTTTCTTCTCAGAGCATAATTCAAAGAAAAATTTGAGGGAAAGTGGCACATTTTTACATTGAATAAGAAACACAGTTTGATTTTTTTTTTTTTTTTTTTTTGAATTATCTTACCTTTGTGGTTTGCTTTGTGACGTAATGTCATCCTACATTTGTATATGACTCATGATAGTTTGGTTCACACTTTGAAAGCTCAATGACTCACAATCTAGCTAGCATTCCTAATTGTAATTATCGTTAAGGAAAGTGTTTATTAGTTGATTAATATTGAAATGAGGAAGGCAAGAATTTTAACAAGATTTTCCTGCTAGATTATTACATAAAGAAATGTCAAAAAGTTATTGACTGGTCATGCAGTACTTTCTTATTTTGAAAGAAAATTGATACATAATATTAATATTACTTATATAAGGAACTGATGTCAGTTGGGGATGTTTAAATTTTAATTTATCTTGAAAATAATTTGACATTTAATTAATATCAGTTAACACTAAAACATTTACTTCCATGTGGAGGAATATATTAGATTTGGCCAGTGATTTTAAGAAATAATTCTCTAATTCTCCTCCAAGTGTTTAAACCATAGTATAGGTAAAAAAAAGATCTGAGGCTTCTAGAATTGCAGTAGACTATACTGTGAATAATCTTTTAGAGAAATATTATTAACTTTTTAAAGCAAACAATTACAGAGTTTTCATATTTTAATCTTGGTAGTAAGATTTTTTTTTTTTTTGGCAAAAAAGGATAACTGTGTAGGACAATTTGTCATGCACTTTTATAAATCAATTAAAATTGTTAAAAAAAACTGTTCAGTGATCTTGTACAGTGTTACAGAAATGTGTCAAACTGTTGTGTGTACGTTTGTATTCATGTTGTGTTCTACAGAGCCTCCTAAAAAGCACAGTGTATTGATGAGCCTCCTGGTGAATGGCGAGGACCCTCCCACGGGGTACTCCGTCCACAAAACGCAGCCTCAAAAGCAGGTGAGACACGCCCACCTTAACGAGAGATATTGACCAATCAGCATTAAAACCCCTCAATCTTGCAAAATAATGAGGGAAAAAGTCTCAGGATTGACTGGGAGCCTTTTAATTTTTACCCTTTCCCTCCCCCCCCCAACCCCCCATTTCTTTTCAGTTTATTTTTTTGAAGATGAACAGGGATAATTTTGTTAATCTGGAGACTTTGCTGCTAAAAAATTTGATCTCATTTTTCTTATAGATATATTTTGTTGATGTAAGATTGTGTTGTTTTCATTGCCGGGTGTAATTTGTTTCAGTCAACATATTTACTTTTAATTTTAGTAAATATTAAAGTGTACTACAGTGAAGGAGAATTTGTGATGTTGTCATCATTTAATGTGAATATAAACCCTCCATTTTGTTGTTTGCATACAAATTATGCACTGTTAAGTACACTCTCTTGAGTTATGTCCCTTAGTCTGGATTTGAAATGACATGAATTGTGTGTAGGCTAAGCTAAGGTACAGTTAATGACTGGAGACTTGAAGTCTTCTGATGAAAAATATGACATTTGATCTACAGAAGGCAGAAACTTTGATTTAAAGGGTCTGAGACTCATAGAAATGATTACCTTTTCAAATTTTTGTTACTACATTTGTAATTATAACAGTAAGAATAAAACATGATCCCTGTTTTCTATAGAACTTTATGATACTTCTCCTCAGAGTTTATACAAACTTACATGTATTTTTCAGTGTTTTCCCCAATATATCATTTTGCTTTATAGCTAAATCTTTATTTTCCATTTTTTTTTTCTTCTAAACAGACAAAAGCTTACTTAGTAATGTTTTTTTCTTTCTTTTCAGCCCAAAGCATATTTTCCAGCATTGCAAACCAAGGGGAACAACTCTGGTGGTAAGAAAATGTTTCCTAATCCGGGCTTGGAGGAGGAAGTGATAGAAACTCCAGACGTCTTGCTCCAGAATCCGGATTTGCTTGCTGCCCTGGAGCTGTTTTTGCCGAATTCCGAGCTAATGTGACATCGTTTTTATTGTATCCATGGTAACTGATTTTGTGATGCCACAAAGAAGGAGAAAAACAGGGACTTATCATTGCTATGGAACATTTATTGTTGCTATGTAACATTTACTTTTGTATTGTCACTAGTTGTGTTGTTTTAACATAAAAAAAATGCTTTAAGATTTATTTGTTATATAACATTTAGTATCCAGTGTTGTTAGGATCCGTTGTTATAATTGTTTGTAGGTTTCAGTTGTTTTTTTTTTTTGTTTTGTTTTTTGTTTTTTTTTTAATTAATTGGCAACATTTGTTACAGATTTAGGAATTTGTGAATGGAAAAAAAAGACATTTGCTTATTTTAGCATATAAATCATGTTTGAGGGTGCAAAAAAACTGCTTATAGATTTGGAGCTTTTCAAATTGCCAGATATGATTTTACAACTTGTCAAATGTCAATAATTTATTTTTTGTTGCTGCTGTTCAGCTCATCAATTTATCCTGCTCATTTTTTTCCACCACAACTTTTAGCACTACATAACTACCGTAATCAAAAACTCAATCTTATTTTATGAAGAGATATTTTCATATATTTTTCTCTAAAGGAAAAAAAATGCATTAAAAAAGTTTATTAAAAAAAAAATCAAAAATTGAAGAAAAAAAAGTTTTAAAAAAATTAAAATTAAAAAAATAAAAAAAAAAAAATAAAAAAAATAAAAAAAAAAAGAAGAAAATTAAAAAAAAAATTATAGGATAGGATAAATTTGATCAATGTGAAATGCGTTGTTGTGTTTAGTGCTTGCATGTATATAATGTAGTGAGTTTGTTGATAATGTAGTGCTGATACGTACACAATTTTCTATGTTCTACAAATGCTGCCATAAGAAAGTTTTACATTGGAGATTATAATAATTTCTGTATCAGCTCTCTCATTGTTTCATGTAATTAACATGGGAATTTGCTTTTGAGAATCATTTTTTCTTTTTATTCCCTAACCCTGATGGTAACTCTGACCCTTGCTGTTTATTTGCAAGTAAATTTTTGCCTAACTATCTGTCTCTCAGTTTGGCCCAGAAGCTTGTAGTAGATTTATCATTAATGAGATCATTTGATTTTCACTAGAACTAAGATCAGTGATTATAGATTCAAACTTGTTTGCATGCTCTCAGTATACATTATCCACAAAATATTTTTCGATATTTTCATAATTGACAGATATTTATTGTTCACTTTTATGGAAATAGCCAGGTTGTATTTTCGTTTGAAAGCCCTCCAGGGCTCCGTGGATAATTTGTTAGGATCTGAGTGAATTATTCTGGGTTATGTTTATTATGGTTTAGGGCAGTCTTGTTACTACAAGACCTAGTTTTATTTTTGATTTTTTTTTTTTTTATATAAAGGCAACTTATGAAGGGTTAGTGGGGTGTGTCATATTGTACAGAATTATAAAGATACTAGGCTTCAAAATGTGGTTGAGAAATTTGATTGCAGATGAAAATATTTTTTTTATGATGCAGTGTTGCCATAAAATTTTTATGTTTTAATTTCATGTAAATTCAGGACTCGTCATCTCGAGCAGGACTCGAACGTTGTCAGTCTCGGTTAAAAATAAATTGGAATTTATGTCCTCAAGTGAAAATTTTTAGCTGAAAAGAATCAACAAAAAGCCTTTGTTTCTTTTATACTCTATAGAATGTAATAATTTGTTTTTACTTGGACAACATAGGATAGTAAATGTTGGTTTTTATCTCCCTTTGATAGTAATTGTTGGTTATTATCTCCCTTTTGTCATACAATATAATTATACATTGTACCCACAACTCTTGTTGTGTGTGAGCCATATTCATCAGTCCCTGATTGTGGGGAAAAAAGTGTATTTTGTTTTCATGTGTATCGTTCCTATACAACTCACTGTAAATGAACATATTGTAGTACAATAAAATAAAAATAACAAAATCGACTAAATTTTATTTTTGTTTGGGAGTTTTGTAAGGCATGCATTATAATTTTGATAATTGGACGATATCGCTGAAACTGTTAAACAGTGTCATGCACATGTATGATGTCATAGCATGTCTAAATACATAATGATGTCTGTTAGATATATTCAATATTTATAAAATATTGGATAAATCAAATAAATGAAGAAATTATTTCCCTGATCAAGAGGTGATACGTCATGTATTAGTTACTCAGCACTTCTATCAAAATTGAGAAACTCACAATTCTTGGACCCATGGATCAGACTGCATGGTAGGGCCATGTTGATAATATATGAAAAAAATCCTTACAAAACTTTGAAAATCTTCTTCAGTACACAAGCTGATTAAATGTTTAAAATGAGACCATTTACATTTTTATACCCAACGCAACAAGTTGCAGAGGGGGGGGGGGGGGGGGGGATATAAGGTTTTTGACCCGTCAGTCAGTCCGTCAGTCCTGTTTTTTTGTCAGCGCAACTTTTTTCTGGGAATTTCGGCACTTTTCAACTTAGATTTTTGGCCATATCTTGAATATAGAGATGAACAGTTTGTCAGCGCAACTCCTCATAAACCGCAGCACAGAATTTGGTCAAACTTTGCAGATATTTAGTAGACAGTGTGTGGATGTGTATATTACCAGGAAATTCCGATTCCTTCATTTTTCCAGGAATTTCGGCACTTTTCAACTTAGATTTTTGGCCATATCTTGAATATAGAGATGAACAGTTTGTCAGTGCAACTCCTTTTAAACCGCTGCACAGAATTTGGTCAAACTTTGTACATATTTAGTACACAGTGTGTAGATGTGCATATTACCAGGAAATTCCGGTTCCATTTTTTCCCCTAAGGGTTTTGCCTATTATTGAAGAAACTTTCCAGCTAGGTACATGTAATAAGCAAATCCACTGGAATCAGCTTTTGTAATGAAATTTTATGTGAAATATTTTATGACCTTAAAAGACCCATATTGATTTTGAGATCAAAATATTAATGATTTAACACACACACACACGCAAAATCTTGGATAGGTAGGTATTTCAGACATAATTTATAGATTTGTATATTACAAAGAAATTTTGATTCCATTATTTATCTAGAAACTTCAGCCCAATTAAATTTGTAACATACAAAGATTTGAATGTCCTGATATGCAAGAAGTTTTGAAGTGATGATTTTTTTGCAAGTAATGCCCCTTTTTGAAATGCCCCTTTTTGAATTATACTGTGTATTTAAAATGCACTGTGCCATTCATTACGTGTTGCATTGTTTAGTTTTGGGGGAGCGTGGGGTATGTGAACTTGCTCATTTTTTCTTTCATTTTTTTTTTAAAAATTATGTCCTTTGGGTCCATTGTTAAGGCCCCAGAGTGGGGCTAAGTTGGTCATATCTTGAAAACATCAGACTTGAAAATATTCTTTACTCATAGATATGTGGCAAACAAACTATTTACATAATTATAATAAACATTTAGCCCGCTACAAAATGACATGTGAAATTCTTCCCCCTTCCCCATTTTGGCCCATGGTTTTGACCCCAGGTTGGAGTAAATTAAATTAGTCTTTTATTGAAAAATGCATTACAACTCCGAAAATCTTTTTTATTCAGGGAAATATATTAGACAAACTGTTTGCATGATTACAATGAATACTTAAACCTTTACCAAAATATTAAAATTGATGCCTCAATGATTATTTACAATGATGTTTTGATGAGTAAACAAAAATTGCAGAATACTCTGAGAAATGAATTACACAAAACGACACTCAATTTCTGTACCAAAACATGCAAATGTACCAGAAAATGATATTCGGATGTATGCAAGTTTGTTTAAGGGTCGCGAGAATGCTTCCGGAGCCAAGGTGATATCACCCATCGTGAAAAAATGTATTAAATTATATTTAAGTATAGTAAAGTAAAGTACGAAGGTATTAACTACAAAAATAGTTTTTACTTTTATAAATCAAAAGTATTATTACTAGGGATGTCAAAATATTTTATTTCTTTAGTAGAACATTCGATTGCATTATTCGAACGATAGTCGAATATATTCGAAACTTTTTCGGAAAGTAAAATTTTATTTCAGGCTTCAATGGTACATGACATATTTAACCCGAAATCCCCTTTTCTTAAAATTATTAAAAAGTAACATCAAATGTTACACACAGATGTTTACATGGACCTGAAATGTATGATTTCCCCGTCAATCATGTCCATAAATCTATCTGTAAAGTCGGTTTTTAGGAAGCATAAAAAATGACAGTACGATATACATGTATTTTTTAAAGCTTATTAAAATGAGGGGGGGGGGGGCACACACGGTAAATATATGATAATGTTGTATTGTTAAATATTTGAATATACTTTTTGTACCAACTATCAAAATGTCTTTAAAATCTGTAAAGAATATTAATTTTATAATAATTATCTTAGTGTCCCAACATGTCACGGCTATAATGGATACATGGTATGAGATCAAGTCCAATTAATAATTTTACAAAGAAAGCGCAGTATAACGAGATAATTTTATTACAAAAACAACACATTAATTGACAAATAATACTCGCGGAAGTAAAGCATTTATAATTACTGTAATTTCTACATATAAAGCCAGCAGTTTTTAATGAGGGAAATTATCTTATTGACTGTGTCTGTGGAAACCGGTTTCTCAATCTCAGGATGAGAATTCCATCTCTTTATCACTCTTTTATTGAATTTATTTATTCGAATGTCGTTTCGTTATTCGATCGTCGGTCCATTCGACTGATGGTCGAATAGTCGACTATTCGTTGACATCCCTAATTATTACTGAAAAAAATAACGAAAGAGTAGTCATGATCAAATGTCAAATTAAACAGTACAAATCGTGAGTTGAGCAAATACGGACGTCTGAAAACAAAGATGGATCAGCTAGATGCCATGTAGGAGTAAGCATCCCCTGATGAGTGGCCACATCCACCGTGTGCCCCTTGTCGTGAACAGTAAATGGAGAAATCCATAGACAATTCAATATGAAATAATGGCATAAATATTTGTTTGAAATACTTCCGTCAACATTCGATCTAACGAAAGGGTTTATTTGCAAACAAGGTCATTATACTGACCATAAAATTTGCAAAATGTTGACTTTAAACGAGATTGTTGATAACCTTAATTGTCACCTGTCTGCCTCGTTTCAGAAATTGTTCGCATGTAGAACATACACTTCCGTATCGAATCAGCTGGGAGACAAAAACCCTATATGCAGATGGTTATGGTATATTCACTATATTGCTACATAAATGAGGAAGCTGATGATAGAAAAGTTTAAAAGTCACGTTTGCAAGTTGCAAGTTTGCTATCAATGTCTTTCTCCAGTAAAACATCCAAATATGAAACAGATGTGACAAACTCTGTAGTGTTATTTCGAGTTCAGTTTGATATACTGAATCAACCTATGAATGAAAATGAAGATTGATTTATCTAAATTTCGAATTGAAAGCCATAGCAAGAAATTTCTTTTAAAGTAGAAGTTGTAAAATTGCTTCATAAGAATACAAAAACTGGTCTGCTAATAGTGGGTCACATTTAGTACCCATGGAATTCCAACATATCAATATTATTGGAAGAATTAGTATTGTTGGAAGGACTACTAGTATACATATATTGTCAATGAAGAACTTAAGTATCTTATTATTATCTGAACATCAGAGTACTTGTGTGTAGAATCAGAATCGTTTTTACAAAGCAAGATTGTAGATTACCAATGACAGGATATGAACATTTGCAAGTAAAATTCCATTTTTATTGAAGAAGCAGTTGTCTACGATGTCAACATTATTTTGTTTGTTTGTATGTTGTTAACCGTCCCTCTCGAAAATTTTTCACTCATATGGAGACGCCACCACTTGCCGGTGGAGAGCTGCAAATTTTGTCCTATACTCGGCACTTACAGCCATTGAGCAGTGAGGGATCTTTTTCGTGCCAGCACCTACTGCGACACGGGACCTCGGTTTATACGGTCTCATCCGAAGGACCGGTCTCCACGTCCCACAGTGGGATTCGAACCCGCGACGTAAGGATCAACTCCTTACTTCGCGACTCTAGAGCAGACGCTCTAACCACTGCGTCACGTGGGCGATGTCAAAATTAAATCAGTCTTAATTTCATCATGAGGAATAGTTGTAGTCAAAAGTCACACGTTTTGATGCTACTGATTTTGGCAAAATCTTTTGGGTTTTAATTTAGAAACAAACTCTTTGGAGTTTTTTTAGTATCCACATCTGATTACCACCACTAATGACAATTAAGATGAGGATACAAGGATGTCAACAACTCTTTCAAAGTCAGCTTTTTGCAAATTCTACGGCCGTTATAATGACTTTGTAGATACATTCTTTCATTGGGTCGTATTTTATAGATGTTTCATGCCATTTGTTAGGTCAATTGCTTTTATTCTAAATTTTACTACGGGGTACTCCTTCTACCTGATCAAAACATAGGTCTCAGGGCGGGTGACCAGTCAACAAGGGATGCTTTCTCCTCCTAGGCACCTGATCCCACCACTGGTGTTTCCAGGGGTCCGTGGTTTTTGTCCTTTTCACAATTTGTTTTGTGTACTTAATTTATGAGATTGATCTCTGTTATCTTCACCTTTTGTAACAGTCTCACGCCACCTTACTCATCAGCATAAACATGAATGGTAGGTTCGATGTACTGACACCACCAACTTCCGCATCCTGCATCCTCTATTACGATATAAGGTAGTCACTGTAGTAAAGTTATTAATAATTATTACAACTTTTGTGTCTGATGTTCTACACGTAGTGTCTAATTTAAAATAAAATTACTCTTACTAAATACAGAGTGACTTATTTACTATATGTAGTGTCATTTACTACACGTAGTGTGTGTGATATATACTTTTTAAATGGTGAACATGACGGGATATTTTCTGTTCAGAAAGTTTCACGTTTTCCCAGTCCTAACTAGAAAAGG